GGTCATCCTAACCATGAAACTTTCACAGGCGTCGCTCGGACCTGGGCTACCGGAACATTTTGTGGCTGAGGCTGTGTTCCTTTACAATATATTCAATGCAATTGACTTCGCCGTCAGGCGTCGGTCGGACCTGGGCCGACGGAGGGGCGTGGTTGTCCACAGCCTAGACGACCACAGCCAAAAGGACAGAGGCTCGAGCGATCACAAGCAGTCCCCTTGGAGGGGCGTGGTTGGGGCTGTGTTCCCTTACAGTACACTTGATCAAAACAGCAGTTTGCAGTTGGCTTTCCTGCGAGGCATCGGTCGGACCTGGGCCGATGGAGGGGCGTGGTTGTCCACAGCGTAGACGACCACAGCCAAAAGGACAAAGACTCAGGCGACCACGGGCAGTCCCCTTGGTTGAGGTGGTTGAGCTGTCCCTTCTCCTCTTCAGCGTGGTTGTAACCAGCGTAGACAACCACAAAGGGGTCCTGTTGCCAAGCAATCTCTTTTTGGGAGATGTTCTCTGCATGTGCATTTGGACGTCAAATGTTCGGTGTCCAAACGCACATGAAGAGAACCTTTCCCGCTAACAGGATCCCTTTGTGGTTGTCTAGCCTGGTTACCACCACGCTGAAGAGGAGAAGGGACAGCTCAACCACCTGCACCAAGGGGACTGCCCGTGGTCGCCTGAGTCTTTGTCCTTTTGGCGTGGTCGTCTACGCTGTGGACAACCACGCCCCTCCGTCGGCCCAGGTCCGACCGACGCCTGACGGCGAAACCAGTTGCATTGAATATATTGTAAAGGAACACAGCCTCAGCCACAAAATGTTCGGCACCGGAATCGGTGGCTGCAATGCCTCCACATCGGCCAGAGACCAAGCCCAGTACTCGGAATAGTTCAATGCCTCAGGACCAGCAGCTCAAGCTAGTTCCTATCACTCACATCTTGTGCTCGCACTTGTATGCAACCGAGTTACCGAAACTGCTTCGTGATGTTCCTGGATCTCTGCGTCCGTCATGCGGTGGGATTCCGTGATCGTCGCTCGAGCACGAAGCAAAAGAGAGCCGGTCTCCATCAGAGTCACCCTTCCGAGGTGAGCGCATCTGCCCCCTCGTACTTCGACGACTTTGTCTCCGGTCAAGATCAGTTGCAGCCAATACTTCCGGATCTTGAGGGCGCGACGAGTATCCTGGAAGGCGGTGGCCGCATTGGGCAGCCGCGCCTTTGGTGCCATGTAGGATCGATACAGAGGACAGCAGGTGCTAACTCACAGCTAAATTTGCCGGACTCTGCTGCGGTCCGAGCAGAAAAAACGTGATCACACAGGGGCACGGTACAAAAGCGTCAGACTATGCAACACTGGCTTGGCCATTTTCTGCTGTATGCGGAGGCATGCATGCACAGCAGACGGTGCAAGTTATTGCGTCGGAGCAGCTACATGATGCACACTCTCGCCGGTCTCTCGACATGCAGTTCCGGGCGACCGAATCTGCACCGAGACTCTTTTTCGCTAGCTTCTGTGCTGCCTTGCCTGCGCCTAGAGCGGCCCGCCTCTGCACGATGGGAAACTGAGATATTGTCCAATTGGGTTGTCGCATAGACTCGGTGATCGCGCAAAGAAGGCCTGGCGGCAGTTGCACAAATTGGTGAGACGCCTAGCCCAACAAACAATACACAGCTTGAAGCAACAAAACTGTGTTGGGCATGCCTGGCCTATGAGGGGTGAGGGGCCGAAGCCCCCCATCCCCGGTGTGGAAGACCACGCCCCTCC